GTTTCTGAACATTTTGGCATACCTCAGAAAAAATGGATGTGTGTGTGTGTATGTATGTATGGATACAAATTTCCAGTCACGTTTTGAATGGTTCAAAAAACATTCGATTCCTATTAATAGAGATGTGCCGATTAGTTTTTGGCAAAGGCAGGTCCAGCAGTTACGGAGATAAAGAGCAAAGAAAGCAGAAAATATAAATCGAGATTTTGAAAGATCGAAGCATCCAATTTAAATGATCTAAAAAACATTCAATTAGTAATGATTGGGAGAAGTGTTTATTAGTTTTTGGCAAAGGCAGGCCCAGCCATTTTGAAGATTCGGAGCTAAATGTGTAAGAAATGGCAGTTTTTGAGAGAACTAAGCGTCCGATTTAAATGATTCAAAAAACTTTCTGCTTGTCTTAACAAAATATTAGATTTTAGAAAAAAAAATTGTTTCAACTTTTTTTTTTCTTAAATATATATAGAAAATATTTCAGATTTTAATTTTAATTCTGACTATAGTTCTAATATACTTTTAACAAATAATTTCAACTTTGCAATTTAGTTTATATAATTCTTATAGATATTAGACAATGTTACAATATTAAAAATAATCTATTTGAAACATTCAGTATTCCTCGAACATTTCGTTACGGTACGGGAAGTTCAAGGAATTTGCCTTAAGGCACGATGCCATACATCCCATTAGTTTAACTTTTTTCTGCATCTCTAAGAGGACCTGGCTTTGCAAACCATAATTCAAGTAAAATGTTATTTGAATCATTCAATCTGGATGATATGTGCTCTCAAAAACGAATTTGCCGTTTTTTGTACTTTTGCACCGTGTCTAGACAGCGGTTGCACCTGTCGTTGCCTAATCAGCTCCTCATCAATACGCATCAAATGTTTTTTGAATCATTTAAAGCGGTTGATCCGTGTTCTCGAAATCGACAAAAATTTGTATCCACACAAAACACATACGCATATATTCATTTTTCCTTGGATACGCTAAAATGTTCAGGAGATCTTGGAACGTAAAGATACACAAAAATTTTCATTTTCGAGTTTTGCGATTAATATAACTTAGCCTACGTTAATAAGATTCGTTACTAGATGAGGCAAAATAAAAATACATTAATTATGATGTTTTTGTTTGCACTAGGTGATATATTTTAAGTCAATTTGTTTTCTACGTAGGTTTAGTTATGCTTAATACCAATCACAACTAATGTTATTTATGAATATAAATTATCAAGCACTTGCGAAAATCTAACAAATCCTTTTCAGAGCCTACGTGACCAACGTCACGTGCCTCACAAATGCTTATTAATAGAAAAATTAATAAATTTTCTCACTTCCATAGAAATCATTGAATACTATATTTATGCATTTTCGTTTGTTATTTGCGGGCATCGTGCGCGTTAAAACAAATCTGCTTTGTAAACAAAAGACTATTCGTGAATCGCGACGCTTATGAGAGTCATAATAGGCAGGGCTATCCAACAGCTCATATAGAGTTTTTAGTACATTTCATACGATAAAAAAATTAAACCATTTCAAAAAAGATTTTTTTCTAAGAATAAAACAAACCAGTGGTGCATGGCATTGTGCCTAAAGGCAAATTGCTAGAACTTTTCGTACCAAAAATTAAAATTTGTAAAAATGATTCAACCTTTTAGAACTCTGAAAAAAATCAATTTTTGAGATTTAAATTTTTTTTAAAAAGACTTTTTTGAAAAAAAATGATTTTTTCATACTTTGAATTATTTTGGAATTTTTGAACATTTTTTCAAAGCAGTCGCAATACATTAGCTACCTAGAAATACAATGGCAAAGCGCGTAGGCGCTGCGTAGCAGTTTAACGGATAAACATTGGTACGGAATCCATAGAAACGTAAACAAATTTTGCTCTTATTATTGAAATCTCTATGAAATACATGATAATTTGATGTGCATATGTCTAACGATCATTTTTGTCCACCAAATGGCTTTTTTTTCACTTTTTTATTGGATCACCGTACCCGCCAGACTTGCCTTCCCAAAAATCTAAAATATAATACATAAACATTATTTCATTTATATATCCTTGTGATACACGTTTATTTATTAGTAATAAAATTCATATATCTATTAATCATGATAATTATGATGTATGAGAATTTTACTGCATACTTGGACTATAAATCCATTTTGCATTACCATGTTTCATTCACCAAAGATTAATTTTATTCTTGTTTTTAACAAAATCGTATTAGCAAAAAATTCTATAAATATTTTAATGAAAATATATTCTTTTACTTCAATGCAAGAAACCCAGTAGTAATATAGAGAAAACGAAACTAAATATTCGCATAAAACTCATTTATATATGATTTTTAATTATCAGTTAACGATCAACTTTTGAACTTTCGGAATTGTTTTGAAATCATGCAATTCTAATAATTTTATTTTTTACTGGTATAATTGGCTAAATTATGGATGTGAAAATCATTGTAATCATAGTAAACTTCTGGTTTGCTTATAATACAAAAGTTAATGATAAAAAGAGTTTGCTTATAATACAAAACTTCATGATTGAAAGAGATATTTTAATTTATATTTTTAATTTCATTTTATTATTGCGGGGAAAAGAAACTTCAAGTGCAGTTAATTAATATGATTATCTAACCGACTCGAAATAGAATTATCAATTTTTATGGCCATTTTTTTTCCTGAGAGTACTTAAACGGTAAAAATGAAGTATGGAAAATTATATATTTAAATAATGTTTGAGAATAAAAATTTCTGTGTTGAACTGGCACATTATTTCAGAAAGATCTTGGACAGCTCTGCTATACGTATGAATTAACGAGAGTCAATATGTATGTGTAACATGTAAATAATTTTGAGCAAATTTAGCTAATGACACAAGGTGTTACAATCTTCGTATTTTTAAAGATTTTTCAAATAATCAAAAACAAAACAATATGAATCTATGGGAACAATATTGTTCCAGCATTAAAAAAATATTTATTTATGTTAGGAAACTAAAGTTTGAATTTTGTCATATGTTTCCAAGTGAAAATAGCCCTTTCCCGGCATTGCTGCACCAATAAAAAGTCAGCCCTATTAGATTAATTCTAATAATAAAAATCATCAAATATGGATGGATTAACCATTGGGTTACTATCTAAAAAAAAAAACGAAGTAAGGAGAACCAACAGCTCATAGGACGTAAGATTATGATTGCTGTTCAAAATTAAAAATAAAAAATAAAAAAAAAATTGCAATTGTCACACGAAATAATTTATATACCAATAATGAATATGAATTATCTTGATATTGCATAATATTAAATCATAAAACATTAAAAAAGATGTTATAATATATAGTTGAATATTTATTTATATACAATATATATTTACAATAAAAATTATTTGTTTTTCTAAAAAAAAATTCAAAAATTGTTTTTGATTTTGATTTTTAATAATGCTAAATATTAAAAGAATGACTTCTTTTAGTTTTAGGTTCAAAGTCTCTGAAATAGAGAATCTCCCATATTTACCATAGCATTCTACTATAAGTAGAATGAAATAAATAAAAATTTATTTCATCGAATGAAATTATAAAAATATTTGATTTAAAATATCATATTTAACTCATGAAATTTATATTTTGCATAGGTTGAATAATGTAGCTACAGTGTGTAAAAACTTTCGCCCTAAAAATAAGACATTTTCCTTGTATGTCCCATGGCCGTTTTACACCGCCTATGGTGTGAATTTGCTGGGAGTTTGTTTTACTGAACATAGTCAGGTCATAGTTTCTTATGTGTTATTTGTTGTAATACAATTGATTTGGTTTTCACAATATATTTGCTCAAACCAAAGTCAAATTGGACCTTTGTATCTCGCGCTGTCCTAATACCTGTCCATTTATTCATATATGGGAAATATCCTATCGTTACACAATATGAGGATAGGAGTCATTCATATAATATCTACCGGTATATTTATTTATTTATTTATTTATTAATTTTACAAGCCGTTGGTATAATAATATTATAATAAGGCTTAAGTCAATATTTTATAGGTTTAATATTATTCAATTAATTATTAGCTATTTTATTACTTATTTGTTTATTATTTAATTTATTTACTATAAACTTGTTTATATTCACTTAATTTTAATTATTTTTGAATATAACTAGTTTGTTTGTTGCAAGTATTTTTTAAAAATTTAATAAATATTTTAATAAGCTTTACAATATATTTTATTTAACAAATTTTAGGTTATTTTATGGATAATTTAACAAATTTATGTGTCTTATATTATTGTTATTATTATTATTATTAATATTAATATATCATTATCATTTATATTACTATTGTTAAGTATTTTTACAATGTTTTTTTTTCTTTACAAATTTTTAGGTATTTTGATGAAGGAAATATTTTGTTTCACAATTTAAGTGTTTTTAAAATATAAGTTTTTGGTTAACTAATTATTAAGTATTTTAACAATAACAGTCATATAAAAAAATAAAAAAAGTAAAAAAACAAACAAAGAAATAATATTAATAATAATAGTAATTTAGAAGTATTTTTGCAACACAAGTATTTAGTTTAACGAACGAACTATGAACGAAATATGAACATAGTATGTCATTTCTTTAGTATATATGCAATTTCGTGACATATGTATATCAGTAATTTACTAATACCATTCTGCAGTAATTTGGTGCGCCGACCAATTTGTTTAATATGATGGAATATCAAAACACATAGAAATAAATCAGTCAATTATTATAAATGATAGTTTAATACACAGAACCCTGAATAGACATATTTGATTATTTTAAATTAACCATCATGCTGGTATTTCCTAGTTCATCTGAAAAACGTATCATAAACACCCTGCATCTGGTAAATATAAAACGCGCAGAAAATAAGTCACCAATACAGAAATGCGTCGAAGCATGAGTTGCATTATTGCTCTGACGGGACTCAGCAGTCAGTGATCGTGATTGCCCCAGTATGATCACTACGCTTTTCACACTACCTAGAAATAATTAAATTGAGTAATTCAAAACCTTGTTATCTTCAGCAGATCACAAAAATCCGCACTGATAACGCAATTAGCGATAAAACCGATCAGTGTGAAATATTCCGTCTATAAGTAATGTGATTCAGTGCCAACGCCGTCAGTTGACATTCGAAAAGAGTGAAGTCGAAATAAAACAAGTTAATTATTATAAACAAAAGAGTTAACAGGAATGAAGCGCGGCATCTCACGGTGTGCCATCGTATTGGCCTGTGTATTCTTCGTTGCAGTTCAAGGGCGATGGGTAGAAATTCCCGACGATCAGCCGCGTAGAAGTGATAATTTTGATAATTCCAATGGAAAGTTTATTGTGAGGGACCACAAAATCATTAGGAATGATAAGCAATTTAGAGAAGATGGACCACCGGATCATACCAAATACGCACAAATGGCAAGGTAATTGTATAATCTTATAGTCATTGTCATCCATTAGATAAGATAATTGACGACCGATTAAGTAGTATGGTACTACATAAATAAAATTTTTGAATTCATGTAGAGATTTGCATGTTGTATTATAAAATTTTGTATGGATAAATTGTTGTAATTAAGTATAAAAAATAGAATTAATTTGTTAATGATATTTAGACCAACGGGCCAATTCTCAAATAAAATAGACTGCCATAACAACGCTATGTTGCGGTCCTTTCTTCATTTAATTTGATACTAAAAACTGTCAAAATGCTATGTATTTGCTGTATAGTGATGCGTTTTTTATATTAAACCTAACCTGCAAAACGCACAAACGTTAAATAAAAAATGTAATCATAACCGCATCTTTCTGATGTGTCATTATAATACATGCGTGAACTTAAAACTCGTGATTACACAGCAAATACATAACATTTTGACAGTTTTTGCAGACAATTTATATAAAAAATAAAGTAATGTTCTATTTTATCGGAGAATTGGCTCCAAATAATATAATTTATTGAAATACATTAAAAAGATATTTAGTGAGGCATAAATGTTAGGGCGGGTCAATCTAAAAGTCACTCAGGCACAAATGATTTTTAAATTCTAGGGATCAAAATGAGAATTTTCTCACGAGATCATACCTCTAAAATAAATTCTGATGTACCAAAAGATAAGCGTAATTTTGAAAAACCTCTTAGGAGGGGTTCCAGGAGTGGACAACGGGCATGGGTGGATTGGCCTTCCAAAGTTAGTGGGGGTCAAACATTTGGACGCGATTGGAGCACTCTGAATGGGTCAAAATGGGCTTTTTAAATTTTAACCCTTAGGTTTTGGGTCGAATGCACGGGACATCAGAATTTATTTTAGAGGTTTGGTTTCTTCTTTTGATCCCTAGTAGCCGAAAATCATATGTGCCTATGCGACTTTTTTTGACCCAAACAAATCGAACCGCTCTAATTAATGTATTTTTGATATTTTTAACGATCTTCAATAATTATATTGTTTTTTATTATTTAAATTCAAACTATTAAAACGATTAATATTCTGCTACTTCTCCATGACGAGTATATTTGTCAATCACATTCAAATGATCAAAGAAAAAGTTTTAAAAATAGTTGAATCATTTTTGTAGTATGAGCTCAATACACTTACTTATTTATTGCAGAATAATTCTAATATTTTTTAAAATAAATAGTTATTTTATAAACATTACAATGTCTTTGAACATTACATTAAAAATAACAAGTAAAACGATATATGTATGCCATGAACTAAAACAAAATTTTTAAATCTAATGGTTACTACTAATAGTATGGTTAGTACACTTAAATTTAACGCAAAAAAATTAAATTGTCAATAAAGATTTAGTTCAATTATTTTTATTCGAATAAAATTTATGTTTATTCATTAGTTTCGTGAAAATTTTAAAATTTGTATATAAAGATAATAGAAGCTTGCTTTAATTCAAATATAAATATAGTTATTTATTAATAATTAATTGAAATATTACTTATTAATATCGTATTCTTGATCATAATATTTGCCTCATATTTTTATCGCCTAAATGAAAATTTTTACTAAGTTTCAACATTTAAATTCCAAACTTTTGTAATAAACTGGTTGTTTTAATAGATGCCCTTAAGAATAATACAAATTGATAAATTAATATCTATTCAATGAGCAGTCTCTAAATATTTCCATTCATTATATGGTTATTGTACTGCTAATTGTATATTTCGAATATTTTACATGAAATATCTTTTGTTTTTGTATGTATCAGTTTAAAAATATCGCAGATCAGTCACATATTTAATTAAAATTATATAAAATTACAAGACAAACCAGAATAATTAATGTGTGTTAACATTTTGGACCACGATGAGTTTGATCCACATAATAATATATATTAATTAATTAATTCATTTATTTATTTAATTAATTCAAGCTATTACATAATTATTTATTTTTAACCGGAGGAAAAAAATTACTTTTTAGTACTATTTTGTCAATAATAATGTATTCATTATTCGATAAAAAAAAGATATCAATTACTGAGTTAAATTTTTACTTTTTATGCCATAAAGTAAAACAAAAATTTTAACAATCATTTATATAGGTACCATAGAGTTTATGGTATATGTCGTTTTGCTTAATATAAAGCAACATCTAATATATCAAAATCACCAATTCAATCAATAACTTTTCCAGATATATTGTGCACAATGCAGAATATGTGGCAATGGGTACAATCTCCACAATTCCTCAGTTGGCAGGATATCCATTCGTCAATATTCTTTCGACAGCCGATGGACCACGTGGAAGAAATGGCAAAAGTACTGGAACTCCTTACTTCTACACCACCAAATTAGATTTTTCAGCAGCTGACTTATCCAAAGACAATAGACTAACAGTTATGATGAGTCTTGCCCAGCAAGGATATTGCCAGGAACATGACCTGGATGCAGAGGATCCAAGGTTTGAACAATTTTATGTGACTTCAAAAGAATCAGAATTTCGCATTGTTCAAACAAATTCATCATATTTATTACTACATCAATCATTGCATGATTATAAAACCTACTAGATTGCATATTTGATTTTTTATAAGATTTCTTGCTAATGCTCTGACTACTATTTTATTATTCTCGTTTATTTGCATATGGGTCAATTGAGGTCAATTACGAAATTCAACTCAATTCAATTGTTTTTACATATGTTCAGAACAGTGTTCACCAAGGATTTTACGCTACGTTTTATTTGAACGTCTATAATTATTTTATGCCCTCATACACTTTTTACATTTTATTTCGATTTTTTACGAATTGTTGAGGTCATTGATTTAAATTGATTTAGACAAACACTAGGAAGTAAAGGATGTAACGAATAAGATCGTGATAAGAACTTCTAAAAGGGTAGATTGTGAGTTATATACAACTACGATCCACATGTAGAAAGTTACAAATTGGAAATATAAACGATTGTGGAGACTTTCCCATAATTTTCTTCAAGTATAATCAATTTAAATTCACATAAAAATGAGTTTTGTTACAAATTGGACTGAAAAATATTTAAGAGATATTACTACAAGATATAAATAATGCACATTTAAGGTTATTTAAAATTGGATTCTTTATTGTTGACGTAAACTTGTAAAACATTATAAAAGATGGTTCAAAATTTTTAAGAAGTAAATATGAGAAGTTATTATTTTGAATAACTAGTAATCAGTTTGTAAGAAATTTGTAACAGGAAAAACATATTTTTTTATTCATTTTACGAAATAATGGTTATATTGTTCAGCCAATACGAAATACAAATTTTATAGATACAGTTTTTACAAAAATCACTCTGTATTTAACCTTGATCTGGTATTTTGACAGAAGTTTAGTTCACGGCACAAATGTTTAATTTGTTTTATTATTTTCAAGGAACAGGGTAAAATATTCTTCTAATTCAGGCATTTTTCATTAAATCGAGATTTGTACTATGGTGTAACTTTAAAATGTTTATTTATCAATGCCGATTTTCTTGTTGATATCGTTACGCATACAACGGCAGATCTCTATTCACATACACGACGACTAATCACAATCGACCAGTATTGAAATGATTTCATCGAGAGCGAATGACGTACAGTTTTGGCGTAACGCATTTCCGTTGCATTTGTACTGATTTACACCCTAGTCGCGTCTAAAGAAGTTTTACTTCAAAAAGAAATGAAAAATATATGAACATAACTAAAAATTAACAAAACATACTATATAACAATTAAATAACGTAGACTTAAAAATTATATTCAGGAATCATTGACTAAATAAAGAGCGCAAAGCCGAAAAAAATACTTTCACCATGAATATTGATACAAAGCCGTTTTTAACCAAATAGCGACCTAGTAAGAATTAAGGTGGTTATACATCTTTTGCCTTCTACTTTATAATAGTACCGTTAAAAAATTCTGTACTTCACTTGTTTTAGAGATAATAATGGTGAGCCTTCTTACCCGGAGACCTTTAGACCTCACTCTTCCTTATTTCTATTGTTATATAATTAGTTATAATTATTTTGTAAATATTTTCTTTCCTTTACAAACCTCTCTGCTAATTTTGTTACAATCATAAACTTTCAAAACAATTTTGCTTCCGTGCAAAATTATCCACAAAAGCGTATGAAGGACAAAAGATATATCCTGCTGGGTCCTGTTCGAAATCATCTCTGTAATAAGACAAATCGATAGACAAGATTTGTTGCAAAAATTGAACGTTATGCAAGAGTTCACATTACATGTTTCTATATCCCTGTTAAATGAAGTTTATACCTTACTTATATGTATATTAACTAACTTTTAGATGTGCCAGAATCATGCTCTCCGGTAAGTTAGTAAGAGTTCAGAATGGAACCGAAGAATACGATTTCGCATACAACAGCTTAGCCGAGCGCCATCCCATCATGAAAACTTGGCCTCAGGACCACAACTTCTTCCTGGCCAAATTAAAAATTGCCAGCGTCGCTGTATTGGACTGGTTTGGAGGCCCACATTACGTTCCAATTGACGAATACTATAAAACTAGTCCTTATGATGAAGTAAGCAAAGGAAACGAACTCTTTGACAGCGAAGAAATAAAAGAAATCAAATTTGGAGATGATGTTGACGATCGCAGGTACGTCTCCATGATGGGTTGAAATTAATTAAATAGATTGTCAATATATGGAAAAAATATACCGAAACATTTATTTTGTGATAAACACTGTTAGATAGTTCTTTAGTTGTTTAATATATTTTAAGTTATTTTCAAGATTTCAGGTTTGAATTTATTTATTTTTGACTTAAGATTATGAAGTATGAATCATAACGTTTAAATATTTTACCATATATAGTCCAGTCATTTAAGCTTAAATTAGGTAAGAATTTCGGAATTTGAGATACCCAGCTGTAAGTCTGTAAATACTTGTATATTGACATTTAAAAGTTGTCCCAAAATCTACATTTTACCATCATAGAAGCATTCACCACTCGACAGAGTAGTCAATGCTCAGTTTCAGCCACAGTTTGAAAGTTTATTATTTCTATATTTTGTACTTATTATTATTTTGTTATTATTCTGTTTATTATTTTCATTTATATTTTTGTATTTAGGTTTAATTTTTTATTTTTTATAAACCTCAACAATTTTGTATTATAAAACTTCAATAAACTTACGTACACCCTACCATATGTAGGTTTTGAGACAACTTTTAAATGTCAATATATAAGTATTTACAGACTTGCAGCTGGGTATCTAGAATTCCGAGGTGAACTTACTATAATGACTGGACTAATAACGAATTAATCGTAATGCTAGAATAAAATTTTATAACTGCTCTTATATTTTCTTTGCATTCATACCTTGTGCATTTAGTACTCTTAATAAAGTGCATTTTAATAACCACGTTAACATAATTTAGAAATAAATAGATGGATGTAAAAAAACTCATAAGAAATAAAAATAAAAATATTGATCTTCATGCAGTTTGTTTATGAGAATGCTTTTATATAATTTTCAGTCATCAAAAAAAAACATTTTTTTATATTGAACTACCTTGATGGATAGGGTGTTCCGTGGCATAAGTAATTGCTGAACGCGCTGCCTCGTGTGGACGAGGTCTCGAGTTCAAGCTCCCGTTTTGGACAACCTGATATCGTGCTGCAGCGATGTCCATTTGTACTTGAAAATATAGATTGAAAATATGTTTCCATTGAGAATAGCCCATTTTGGGCACTACGGTGTGAAATGGCAATAGGAAATCTCTCACATTCTCACCTGTATTGAGTAGGGGTTTAACTCAACTCGTGCCTTAGGGCAGTGATGGATAAAATTGATGACATAAAAAGTTTTGGGTTTTTTATACTTTTGTTACAAGTTTTAACATTGTTGTCAAATTATCTATCAATATTGTTCTATACGAAATATTTGTTTTTTGACTGCAAAAAAGCCTGAACTTATCTAGTTCCGAAATCTATATATTGAACATCTAGAAAAAAAACTTACTATTTTTAATTAGTTTTTTTTTATTGTTCGTAAGACAAACATCAAATATATATCACAATCATTAATTGTAGACTTTTTATTATCAATACAATTCCAATTTATCAAAGAATATGATAAATCTTAATCAAATCAAGGAAATTAATAACTATAGTGTGTATCTATTTAATACTATTTATTTAACTATTTATAATGCTCTACTAAATACTAATTGCAATTTGAAGAATGTTTCTATTTTATTCATTTTCAATGGTGAGTTTTATTTCTAATTTTTATGTTGAACGATTATGTAATGATGTTTGATATTCTAATAAATATGAAATTGAAGTAATCACTTATTATCAAGAACACTTCAATTTTCAATGTGCGTTCATCGTCTTATGGTTAGTTTTTCTTTAAATATAATTTACATGAAACATAAAGTACAATTAAATACAATAGAACTTTGTACTTCATTTAATTATATGTGATTACATAGTATATTACATCGTATCTTATCGAAATTATTCAAAAATAATATTCTTAACAACTATTCGTATTATAATATATTAACCATCGCAAAACTTATCAAAATAAATATGTACGTGACTTGATAAGAGTATATGGTAACAATTTAAATTATTACACCTTCATAAATAGGTTTATCTTTAGTATTTGATAAGTAAATCGTTAATGAGTATATTTGATGGGAGATAAATACATCTGAATTATTATATAGCCTTTACTCTAAATAGTTCTCAAAGAAAATTAATTTATTAGCTATGTTATGTTATATATGGTATAAAATTCAATGACAATATTTGTCGCAATGCTGTAATTTTGAAATTTAACTCATCAGATTATAACAATGGTTATAATAATAAACTTCTGTATCGCCGATTTAGTTAAGATATCTTGAAGTAAAAATTTTGATTATGTTTGCTTTGTAATGATATCACACTTCTTCCAAAAAAGTTGATTTGTTTGTCTATATCAATTCGAATTTCTATTATATTTGATAAAAAATACCTCTACTCTTATTTATACACTAATTTATAAAATTAGTACTTTTTAATTATACTTTTTGTAGTAATCATCGACAAAAAACCACAACAATCTGTTTGAAAGGCGTTTAAACTATCAGAAAATATAATATGGGTCGAAAAAAATTTACAAAACTTCAGTTTTTACAAAAATCATATTAATCAGAAATCAGATTAAAAATGAAAAGAAACGGTAGTATATACATACAGGTATTATTAATTCTCTATTTCATTGTTTAAACAATTAATTTTTGTTTAATATAGAACTAATTATATCCGATTAAAAAAAATAGGCTACAGTATACCATATTCTTTTTCAGGGGGATGAGGATACAAGAAAAAAATGGTAGATGAAAAACTATATTATTTACATTTATTTGCCTGTGTCAATAACGTTTTGCATGTATATGGCCTTATTTAAAATATGCATAGACTAGTATCATTTGTGAAAATAAAGTGAACAAATTAATATATCGTACTATTAAATTTTTGAATCTAGTTTCAGCATGAGCTTGAATATATATACTGTCTTATCCTGAAATTAACTTTAAATAAGAAGAAGAAAACAACAAACTTAATTTTGTTAATATTTGAATTGTGTGATAGTGCAAAATAAAAATCAGTTACAATCTATCCTAGAAATCAGACACAGTTTATCACAGAATGTGATAGTTGATAACTCATCAAGTAGTGTAAGTCCATTATTGAAATAGATAATTATTTTTTTAATTATCTTACGACTAAAAAATTTGTCTCACGATATTAAAACACAATAAGTTAGTAAATTTAAAAATTTACTAACTACAAAACTGGGTGGTAAAACTAATTATTCATTTTAAGCACTGATTGAGTTTCTTATTATACATTATAATGAGGTACATGACCAACTATTTCAAAATTCAGAATTCCTAAAAAAGGCACAGGCTTTAATAGTTTTACCATTTTTGGTTCCTAGTATAAAACGTACTACTAAAGTCGTTTAAAAATATTTAACAGCGGATCCAAGTATATCAATAAATTGATAATGATTTTAGATAACTAATTTCAAGTTTGTAAAATTAGAGCAAAAATTAATAGGAATTCAAAGTATCTTCTATTGGTAGAAATGATATACTAAATACTGCCATATTCTTGAGGATTAGCTCTATATTAAAGTGGTACTTATTATAAGTAAAATCTTAGGCATTAAATTCAAATATTATTTTCAAACCTTTCATATAAGTAATATACTGGGCTTATATCGAACAATATATCATCTTTCGCAATGGCAATTGAAAATAATTCAATTTCTTCTACGCTGAGTGATATTGCATGATATTGCAATTTCTTATGAACCAATTTCCTTACTTGAATGGGTAACGGTACTAATAATAATAAATTTCCATGAAAACTGAAGCAAAATACATTGTGTAATGAAAATTAACTAGAAATATGATGATACTGCAATATCAAAATAAAATTCTATAATATTTCTACTATTTTGTTACTCTCAGAATGCAAAACCAATTAAAACCATTTCAGTTCGATTATTTTACAATGGAAAATATATACTCTGGCATTTGCAAATGAACTTGCTAAGCAAACCAAAGATATCTACCACTTTTTGTACTTAAATCATTAATTAATAACAATTTTAATTGATTTTAATTGAAAAAGGTATGATAATAATAATTTACATTATCTGTATATTTTAGAACAATTTATATAGATAATGTAAATAACCTTTAACTATAAACTCAGATAATTGTTCGTGTATTTAAATGGCATAGTATTTTCAATTCACTTAAAAAAATAATTTAATTATTTGTAATCCTTCAATACGCTTCATGTTATACATTTAAGATAATTGTTTTGATTTAATTTTTCATTTTTTGGAACATTAACATATCACCCAAAGTTTGAAGCTAAAAAATATCTAAAAATTCCTGATTGCACAGCAAATCTAAGCATTTAAACAGTATTTAGTACCAAAAAGAAGCAGCATAACAGCGTTGCCATTATTAAGGTTGTCGGTTTCAAACCGACCGAAATTCGAAAACCGGTTTTTTAGCGGAAAAAATGGTGTTGTACTCTATAATAGAAAATGGCAAATATACTGAATGGAAGCAAGCGTTTTGATACTTGGAATCATATCGGTCCATAAAATTTGGAATCATATCAGTCTGTTATAGTTCCCAGAAAGTTTCTGTGTATCTTTTGTCTAATGTATATATTAATTTAGATCAAAGCGACTTATCGTTGAAGGAGTGAATTGCTCTACTCAAACTTTAGAA